CGACAAAAATTGCTCCTCCGATTACCCCAAGTCCTTGACACAAATAAACAATTGCACAACGACCCAAAACCGATAATTTCATTCGAATCAAATGCGAAATATCTCCACTTACCTGAATTGTACTCATCTTTAGGCGTTATGGTGTCAATGGACGTAATACTAGGTGACTGTATAAGGCTCGATAGATTTAAGTTAAGATTAAGTAAATTTCTATCCAATTCACCCGACGTTTCCATATTCAAAACTTCGTAATATATGTCGTTGAGATCACCAGCAACCACCTAACAAGCACAATTTTTATAACATTTACAAAACAAAGAAAACGTTGTAACCTCAAATAAACACAAATGATAAATAAATTTCCGTACAATTAAAATTCTCAGTAACCTCTGATAACACAAGAGGTCATTAACTAGAATTTTATTGTTGTTCTAGTTTTTTTTTTCACTTACCTCTTTGAGATTCAAAAAAAATTGTTGCACAAGCGACCTCTTCTGAAAATACCAGAAATTTCGCTCGTTTTGTCCGAAAATTCGTACCGGTGTTTCGATTTGAAATCTTACAGGTTCCTGTATTCCCCGTATCACTAAATCTACAGCGACTGTCATGAATTGTTTCACATCTTTTGGTGTTTCTTGATTTAATGCCTCGAACGATGGTTCGGTCGGATCCCAAGTTGCCGAAATTAAAGTACAGGAATTATTCGACGGAACTTGTTCTTTCTAAAAACCACATTTAGTAATTTTGGTTTTTTAAAGTTGGTAGTTGTACCATTTCGAGTAGTTGCATGTCGGAATGACGCACATGCCGGCCGGGTGCCACAAGCACCCCGAAACAACGCTCGATGTGCAATTGGGGCCCATTATCCGACACTTGACGTATACTCAAACACAATTGTTTCTCTAAATTTGTTTTCAATTTAAAACCGGACCTGTCTTTCCCCACAGTTGAGAAGGTTCCCTAAGGTGACATTTGAACACTGTTGCCAACTCCAAAAACACAAATTACCTTCCCATCATCCTCTTTAATCTCCAAACTGACTTCAAACACATACATTAAAGTCCTGGCTTCAGGTATTGTTGTAATAGACCCCGTCATATCCAACGCCGACGTGACTGAACTACTCATTGATCGTGGCACTCTTTGAAACGCCTTCGCAAAACAAGCTAAACAAACGAATATCGATCAATAAATCGGACACAGGTCATGTGACCAACCTGAGACACGTGACACCGCTTCGGCTATGTCACATCGGAAAACATGGCACTGAAAAATGGCGGATTCTTGCGTATCACCATGTGACCAAGTAAAGGCGAAACAACCGGCTTCGCTACCATCGACAGCCCCCCGAGCGTAAAACAAAATACGGTGTATTTCGTAACGGGAAATCACCGAATTCGAGTTGGCGTCGTATAGACTAGAAACAAAGTCGGCCATAGTGTGTGAATTAAAGTTGGCAACACTTACACCACAAACCCCTGCGATGAGCATGGCACCGAAACGGACACTTTAATACCTTGTTCCGAACTTTGTTCGTTTAATATGGTCATGTTTCGTTGGATTTCGGCTTCGGATTTGGGGGCGTTTATAGCGGCGGCGCCCAAATACGTCACGCCAGCGAAAATCGTACAATCTTGATCGATATCTGAAACTATAAAGATTTGAATATTTTTTTTTGTCTTGTTTTCTCACTTTTGTAACAACAAAAAAACAGTTGGAACAGTAGTTTGTTTTTCATTTTGGTAACAATTGACGACGCCTACTTGACCCGTGTTGGTTTTATCATTTTGGCTAATGCCCACATTGTGACCGGTCAATAATAGTAGAAATAAACGTATTGTTATATGACTTATATGATATGATCGTAAAAACGTAGTGTTACTTTGGTTGTTAATTTTTAATATCAGGAAATATTGTTGAAAGAAAATAAAACCAACGATAAGGTAAAAATAGCTACTTTATAAATAATTTTTCACCTAAAAAAACATTTTTCTAATGGTCAGAAAATAAAATTTAAATCGCTTTTCTTGTGGTACAATAAAATTAAAATCAAATCCTGTAAACCGTTTATGTTAATAAACAATAATCTCTCAGGTGGCGATTACTACGTACGTGCACTATTATTAATATTTTTTTATTATATTTTGTTTAAAAAGATGAGAAATTACCTAATCAGAGACAAAATTTGCTCAATATGATAAGTATTCTGTGACCAAGAACATTCTAATCAAATTTTTCTCATGTTAATGTCAAAACAGTGGCGGCAGTCAGTAATAACTGTTAATATTGTTACTTAATTCCCATTTTTGAGATAAACAATTTTTCTTTTTCATTGGTCACATTCAAACAGTTGTAACTTACAATTTAAAAAAGAAAATAAAATTTAACGTTGCTTGAAGGAAGAATTCTTCGAGAGATTTTGGTCTATTTACAAAACACCCTGTATCCCTGTATACATACAGGATGAGCAAACTAAGACTGTCTCTATGTATATCTTACAGAAAACTAATATGTTAGAATAACTTAAATAAATTCTGTATAAAAGAATGACCTTTGTTAAAATTGTTAAATTTTTTTATATTTGTCATAAAATCGACTCGTAAATCTTCTATAGTTACCAGGCTTTTAAGTCCTATTGTATTGGAGATTTATTATTACTTCATTAACAAATCATTAATTGACTAAAATTCCCGATAAATAACATAAAAATTGATTTTATTCAAATTGAAATGATTTTTGAATTTAAAATTGCACATTAACATTGCAACACATAATTTTTGGTGAAATGGCTTTTATAAGTTTTATGGAATAAAAAATTGATAGAAAACTTTTTATCATACAGAGCGCTTAAAAAGTGGCACACCAATTCAATGAAAGCTGGTAGAGAAATGTTCTGAAACACCCCGTATAAAGAATTTTTGTTTATATGTAGATGTGGCTACATTGTCTCTAAAATGATAAAGTAATAGTTTCCTAGGAAATCAACTTGTTACCATGACGACAACAAAAATTAATACACAATGTTTTCATATCTGCACACTACAATTTTTTGCTAAATAAATGATTTTTTAAAAATTAAAATAAAAAGTAGATGCAAAAACAATTATCCATTATCTATTTAAGACAATTACTTAAAGTAAAATTTTGAAACTTGAGAAAATAAACTGCTCCACAAAAGTTAAGGAAGTGTGCAATAATTACAATAATTTCTGTATCTTTACTAAATAATTATAAAAAAAAAACATATAGAAAATCAGTATCATTAAATAGACATAAAAAAATGTCAAATGCCAAAAAATATATTTTTTTAAACATTTCTTCCAAGTTCCTGGTATCTTATCTTACTTAGACTTCATATAATATTTTAAAAAATGAGTACAAAACTTGACTCACCTGATACACGTTTATTGTAATTCTTATCACTTTGTTTAATTTTTATTTACATTAAAATATAGTCCTTGACAACGTATATCTCACAACCTTGACCTAATTCACCCAAATAGGAACTAACTTTATACCAGCAGTAGCGCGTAACAATAACAATATTGCGGTATTTAAAGATTAAATAAGTGGCAAAAAATATGTATAAAACATTAACCATTCTAGTAAACAAAGTAATGATAAAAATCGAAATTTGTTATTATAGATTCAATTTTTATGTCAATTAAAATTGATTTCCTCAGTCACTCGACAAAAATGAAATTAACTCATACTTTATCACAAAATGTCAAATTAAATGTCAACAGTCAATAAACTTATCAAACATAGTTTCTATATTTTCCACTTGTTTAAATTATCTTTGATTCACTTCATGTCGTATTACTTCATAATTAAACAAACATTTATTTTGAACACAATTTACCTTAAATCAATATAAATTGTTGTTGCCTAGTTGCCTTATATGTTTGAAATTGAGTTTATGTTAGATTTAAACCAAATATTCTAGGACAGCCTTTATATTTTAAATAATCATATCCCGATTATTTCAATTATTGAAACAATAATTATCCTCAAACAATAATTTAATTTGCGTTAGTAAATAAACACGCCATGACATCACCACCATAACAAAGAATGAATAAATTTAGATAATCCGCATTCCCCTTATCACAAATTTCAGGGTCGTATAACAACAATCACAATTTTTCTGCATTTGGATCATTATCAGACCCTCACCTTCCTCCTCTTCGTTCGAATCCTGCTTAATCGAATCCTGTTTTTCCCCCGGACTGTCCTCCCCCGTCCTTGACAGCGGGTCCTTCCCCGGCTCCACCAAACACCCGTAGAAGGTCGAATGACCAATCTTCTTCTCCTTAGCATCCACCTCATCCATATTCCTCCCAGATTCCTGCAACACCTCCGTCAAGGCACTCTTCAACTCGCTCAGATCTCCTTTAATATCCAACGTTGGGGTTTTATTCGTTGGCTTGTCACTGACAAAATCAAACTCTTCGCTCGTTGCCACCGACTCATTTGATTTCACGCTCAAACTATCCTCCATAATGGGGGCCACTCGAGACACCTCAATAGCTTATTACGCCTCCTGAGGCATTGTCACTACATTATTGATTTGAAACAACCTTGGGGTGTTTGCAACGCGAAAATCACCTAATTTGGGGACGAAAACGACACTTTCAAACACATTGTGCGAAATGTAAGACGATTTGAGGTGAAAATTGAGTAAATAAGTGCGAATGTCAAGAATTTGACATTTGATCGGTTTTTGTTTTGGCAGGACTGACACCCACACGAAGCGAAATGACCCACGAAATTGACTCAAAATATTCATTTCTTGGGCGAAAGTAAATTCCAACTGTTTTCCTAAACGCAAAAAACAAAGACCACAATACTGTAATAGTAAGATGTAACGTAGAAATGTTGTAAATAGGGGGACCAATTGGGTGATAGTGGTGGCACAACTGGAAATACCAAGGCGGCAATTTTAAATTGTTGAACAAAAACAATGTAATTAATTACAAAATAGAAATTAAACAACCAGATACTACAGTTATTTATTTATTTAAATACTTAAGCACTGTAAATTTCGAAAGAACTCGGCGTTAAAGCAAAGTTTTCCTCACCCAGCTGCTCCTTATCAATAAAAATAGATAAATATACAAAAAATACTGAAGAAAAACTCGCCTTAATTCGCCTACTAAAAATAATCTAGAAATATATTGCAAGTACTCCTAACTATAATAAAAATAAGACTTGAAGCAATTTCAACCCAGAAACACACTGTACACGATACAAAATTCAGTATACATGGGTTAGTATACAACTGTATTTCTTAATTAATTAAGGTTTGATTAGGGCGATAATTCCTGTGCGTGCATTGGGTCGTACCCACAGCTACTGGCGTCATATGCCGAGCTCTGGTCGTAGGCGGAGCCCATGGAGTACCCCATGGAGTCTTGTGGAGGCGCTGGAGACATCATGGGGGTGGGGGTGCCACTGTAAGGCGAAGCCCCGGCCGCTTTCTTCGCCGCGTACAGATTGGCCTCTTCTTGTGCCTTCCCTATATTTTTCTTGTATCTGATTCGCTTATTACCGAACCAATTGGAGACTTGGCTCACTGTAATCCCGCATTTTCGGGCCAACTCCTCCTTCGCTTCTTCGCTGGGATACGGATTCGATAAATGCGAGTAAAAATATTCGTTTAAAATTTCCGAAGCTTGCTTGCTGAAATTGCGACGTTTCCTTCGGGCATCCAAAAACCGCGATCTGAGAATCATAACTGCCTCACAAGTCGACTGTTTGAGTTGCATCTGAATCGAGGAGAACTTCTTGTGGATGATTTGGACCATCCGTTCGATTTC